TGCTGGTGTCTTCGTTCTGGTCAGCCTTTGGGAATGGGGGACTTTCAGCTGTACTCTCCGGGGCCCATCAGGTCAGGGTCCAAGATGAGTGCAATTTCCAGGAAGAAGTGGCCGGGAAGGGAAGGAAGGTCTGAGTCAGTCTCTGTGTGGTCATCTCCGTGGGGGAGGAAGCTGTAGGGCTGGACCTAGTGGGCCCATCCTAGGTCAGGGAGGCTGTGAGCTGAGAGGAAAACCGAACCCCCTCTTCTAGTGTACCCATCTGTGCCTTCTTGGGACCACCGTGTCCAAGAGCCATCCCAATGGACATATTCCATAACCCAACTTTGGATGTCCAGCTGGAACACAGGGTCCAGGCTGGGAGCTGCAGACACTTCTCTGAGTGTCTGACAGAAGTGCAAGCCACCCAGGCTGTCCCCAAAGAATTAGGCTGTTCTAGCTCCACTCCTGCACACGTAGCCTGAGGAGTTGTGTAAAAAGCCAGTTTAGTAACTGAAATCTTATTTATTTAGTTTTCTTTTGTTTTGAGACAGGGTATCACTCTGTAGACCTGGCTGGTCTGGAGCTCTATATGTGCCCCAGGTTAGCCTAGAAATCATGACAATCCTCCTGTCTCAACTTTGTGAGTATTGGAATTATAGGCACATACCACAGTACCTAACCAGAAATTCCATTCTATAAATGATTAACAGTGAGACTCCAAATGGCAATGCCAGGTATGTATGGACAATCCCATGTATGCACAATCCCATGTACGCACCATCCCATGTATGCACAATCCCACCCACTGGGAGTCTCCTCAGGGACTCTGTGTCTCTGGCCCGTTCATAAATGGAGGAAAAGCTAAGCTGTCCTCTTCATTGTACAGGGCAGAACCCAGTCAGGGTCAGCCCATCCTGGGTGCAGACTGGGTGAGTCATTGTCTTGCTCGGGATAACACCAAGAACCAAGGAACCATCCAAGCAGCATGAACAGCTGGCGCTAAACACTTTTCCCATCCAGGGTGACTGAAAACAATTCCCAGAGCACAGGTGGCAGCTTCGGTCTGCTCTGCTGTTCTCTACATCGTCCCTCCAGCCCCGACCCCCCACTCACCCCGCCACAGACACTACCCTAAAGAGCCCCGGGCTGCTCACTGGCAGTGCAGCACTGTGCAGGAGAGCTTACGTCCCCCCCAACCCTCCACTCCTGTTACTTCCTGCTTTGTTGCCAGCTCTGGTCCTGGAGGCTGGAATGTCTGAGAACATCTGGATGCCAGCTGGCATCTGTGAGGGTCCTTATATAGTTTCATCCCCTGGCAGGAGGCAGAAGAAAAAGTGGGTGGGTGGGGAGAGAGGGAGAGAAAGTGGGCTTGCATCCTCCAGCCCATCCGTGCTGGCACTAAGCCTTTTGTGAACTTAGAGCGCTATGATCTAAACAGCCCCCAGCAGGCCCCACCTCCCAACACTGTTGTTGTGGGGAGTAAATTTCCAATATCTGCCTTTGAGGGGTATACTCAAAATACAGCCTTCACCCATATGACACTGTGGCCCAGGTTCCTTTCCAGGACCGTCCTCAGTTTTCCTCTCAGCCATCCAGGCCGATCCTGACCTGTCCTGGGACACTGAGCAAGGAGTAGAGCCAGCTGAAGATTAAATCCTGCCAGGTGCGGTGGCTCACACCTTCAATGCCAGGACTAGGGAGGCAGAGGCAGGTGGATCTCTGGGGGTTTGAGGTCAGCCTGGTCTACAGAGCGAGTTCCAAGCCAGTCAGGGCTATGTAGTAAGAAAAATCTAAAACTCTCTTTTTATTCATTTCCCATTGATACAGGAACAAATTAACACAAGCTTGGTGGCTTAAAAGCATACAGACCGGGCTGGAGGGACGGCTCCAGAGGTTAGGGTGCAAGCTGCTGAAGCCATCCGAACATGGCTCCCAGAGCTGACGTCATCTGATGTCAGCCAATGTCAGGCAATTCACAGCACCTGTAACAAGACCTGCGTGCCTCAGGGGCCACCCGCACACATCCCTACACAGAAGCAGACATATACACTAATTTAAAGCAACACTGCCACACAAATTCCTTGCTATGTGGTGAAGGTCAGAAGTCCTGTGAAGTTAAAGTCAAGATGTCTGGAAGCTCCAGGGAGAGTCTGTCCTTGTCTTCTCCAGCTATTAGGATGCTCAGAGCTTCTTGGTTTGTGAGCTCTTCTTTTCCTCTAAGAATAGGACCAGAGTATCTTTCGGGCTAGCCCTTCCTTCCTTCCTTCCTTCCTTCCATTATAGATAGACTGATTGGCGTGTGTAGCAGTCAGACGAAAACCTGTGGGTATGGGTGCTCTTCTTCCACCATGAGAGTTCCAGAGCTCCAACCCAGGTCATCAGGCTTGGGGATAGTGAACTTTAGTTCATAGAGTGCTTAAGTCCAGCTCGTGTGAGGCCCTGACTTCTGTCCACAGCACTGCATAAACAGGATGGGTGGTGCAAGTCTGCGATCCCAGCACTCAGAAGGCAGAGGCAGGAGGGTCAGAAGCCGAACCATCCCATTATACCCACCCCATGTTTTATTGTTTTTGACAGAGGGTCTCACCATGTAGCCCAGGCTGGCCTGTAATTCACTGTAGACCAGGCTGGCCTCAAACTTGAAGTGATTACTCTGCCTCTGCTCCCCCAGCTCTCTAGCGCTAGGATGACAGGCATATGCTGCCAGGCCTAGCTTATGGCCCTTCTTTAATTTTTGTCTTTTTTTTTTATTTTTTAAGGGCCCTTGTAATTAAACTTGGCCCATTTGGATAACTGAGCACAGTCTTTATTTCTTTAAAAAAATAACGTTGATGGCAGAGGCAGGCAAGTTTCTGAGTTCAAGGCCAACCTGATCAATATAGTGAGTTCCAGGACATCCAAGGCTATGTAGAGAGACACTGTCTCAAAACAAACAAAAAAATGAAAAAAATAAAACAAATAGAAACCCAGCAACAGCAATAAATTACATTAAGTCAGGTGTAGTGGCACATGCCTTTAATCCCAGCACTTGGGAGGCAGAGGCAGGCGGATCTCTGTGAGTTTGATACAGGCTTGGTCTAAATAGTGAGTTCCATACCAGCCAGAGCTACAGTGAGATTCTGTCTCAAAAAATAAATTACATTGTGTTTTTGTGGAGGGGCATGCATGTTTGATGTGGTTGTATGTGGTCAGAGAACATTTAATAGTTCTCTCCTTCTTTCACTATGAAAGCCCCAGAAATCAAACTCAGGTTGTGAGCCTTGACTGCAAACATGTTTAGCTGCTGAATCCTCACTCATAATGACCCTCTTATTTAGTTATTTTTGGTTTCTCAAGACAGGGTTTCTCTGTAGCTTTGGAGCCTGTCCTGGAACTAGCTCTTGTAGACCAGACTGGCCTTGAACTCACAGAGATCCGCCTGCCTCTGCCTCCCGAGTGCTGGGATTAAAAACATGCGCCACCACTGCCCAGCTGACTCTCTTTTATTTTTGGACTTGAAATATGGACTTAACTATATGGATGGGAAGAATAACTGTGCACTCCTGATCCTCCTGCTTCTGCCTTCTCCTGTTTACACAGCGCTGAGGACAGAAGTCAGGGCCTCACGTGCTACTTAAGCCCTCTATGAACTAAAGTACAAGCCTAGTCCAGGATAATCTCTATTTTAAAGTCCCCTGAGCAGGGCATCGTGATTTCCATCTATAGTCCCAGCTCTTTGGGAGGTTGAGGAAGGAGGACTGGTTGAGCCCAGGTTTCTGCTTATCACAATCCCCTGGGTACTCAAAATTCCCTTCCCATATAACAAGCAGTCATAGGTTCCAGAGGTTAAAATGGGGAGATCTTAATCTAGGGATGCATGCATGTGTGAATGTGAGGGCGTGTGAGTGTGTGTATGCATACATGCATGTGTGACTGGTGATTAAACAGGGACTAACATACAGGGAAACACACCAAGCCCCTCAGAGATGTGTTTCCTAACCCAGATTACGGACATCTTTAAGGATGCATGACTCATAGTCCTTCCCATTCTGCCTTTCCCCCCTGGCTTGGCTGACACATTCGCTCACACCAGCATCCTTCCCTCCTGTACATACATCCCATTTCTTCAGTTGCTGCCTGGAAGTCAAGCGTCCTGGCTCCTCTCCTCCCACCTTTCTCTTTTGCCTCACTCCTCTTCGCACTTAACCACCTGGAAGGGTTTCACCCTGTGCCTTGTACCTTGAATTTCTTGAGTCCCCACCTCTCAGCTTTCCTAACCACAAGTAGACACTCAACGAAGTTATTCCACTTACTCACAGAACGAAGCAATGACAAGTTTCTCTAGGTCTATCTCAGCAACCTTAGAACCTGCCCTTCAATAACTGTTTCTGATCCTGTTTGACTGTATAAATGAACGAATCATTGTACGAGCCCAAACCCACGTCGGAAACCACCTAGCATGACAGCAAACACAGGCATGCCCAGTCTCTCTCTGTCTTTCTCCATCTGTCTGTTTCTGGTTTTCTCCGCGCTGCTCCCTCCCCGAATCTTTCTCTCTCCCTCCTTCCATCACTCTCTCTTCTAGGTTAGGCAAACTCTTCAAAGCGCTCCTAAGCTTAGAAGGCGCCAGCAAAGCCCGATTCATTCCGGTAGAGTCACAGAATACACTCGTGCGGACATCTCCCGGGTCACAATCCTTCCGGCAAGGAAACCTATCCAAGGACGCTCAGAGATTTCTCAAGAATTCGCTCTTCCGGCCTTTGCTGGCCCAGTGCTTCTAGCCTAAAGTTTTGACTCCAACATGCACAGCTGGCGTCCTGGTATCCACCACTGCTACTCCTGGGCGAATGCTCCGAGCTACTTGAGGCTAAGGCTCTGGAATCTAGCAGAACAGTCTGCAGAACAGAGAACTTGGGTGGTGCCGCGGTGGGCGGGGATGTGTGGAAGGGGGCTGGAAAAGGGCGACTCGGGATTGGCTTCTAGTGCTGGGGGCGGGGCTTCGGGTCTGAGGTCCGCGCTGTAAGTTCCCAGGCCCACCCTGGTGCTCTATCCCGGCCGCGCAGCTCTGCGGCTTTGCCCGCGCGCCTCAAGGTGAGTCTGTGCTGAGGTTTCTCAGGCCTCTGGTGGCTTCTTGGAGAGTCCCATCCAGGGTGGTGCTCGGTTCTGGTCTAGGTCAGGCCCCTTACCAGGCGCCTGGGTTCCCGCCCCCTACCCATGACCTCCCACAGCGCTCAGGGCGCTGCGCTGTCAGTTTTGCAGCTCCTGTCTATACGCAGTGTTCTATGCTGAAGCCACGAGACCAGGGAGCATCCTTCCTCGGCCCGTGTCCCCGCCTGGGCTGGAGGCCGTATTTTTAGCGGCTGGTGAGGTGTCCTCCTATCTTTAGCTGCAATGTTACTGAAACGGGTCTGGGCTGCGCCAGGCAGCGCTTGGCTGGGGAGCTGGAGGGGTCGGCGCGGGAACGCGAGCCAGGGTTGAGCAGCCGGACTCGCTGGAGGGCGGGGGCCTGCACGTCCGAAACCTGGCGGCACGCCAAGCAGACACTGGGACCTCGCCCAAGCCGGGAAGCTTAGGCAAGGCCCCTCCCAGAGCTCGGGGATCAGGATAAGGTCCCCCAGTCTTCGCACTTCCACCCTCACCGTGGTCTGATTGTGAGACCCAATGAAAAAGCCCTATGGGTGATACACCTCGGGTAGGGGAGCGCGCAGCTCCGCGGTGGGCTCAGCCTGGAGCCGGTGTGCTCAGCGGGACCCAAGAACGCTGGACTATAGCGGGGGCGCGCGCGCCACCTAGCGACCACGGGTCCTATCGCTTCTCTGCGCTGGGACCCAGGGAGACCGCTGCAGGAGAACCAGCTTCTGAGGTGACCCTGTCAGGGCTGGCAAAAGGAAACCCATGCCTGGGGGCTGAGTGGGGTTCGGTTTTTGTTCTTGTTGCAACCCAGGAGAGCTGAAAGGTTTGATAAAGAACTTGCCGGTATTTGCTGAATGTCCTTTGATAGTGACCGTGGACTCATCTATTTATGCAGAGCTTCTTGTTTCCAGAATAGCAAAGGGTCAGCCCATTTTAAAGATGGGGAAGGTGAGTCCAGTCCCGGAGAGGAAAAATGCGTTGCCCAAGGTCACAGAGTTCCAGGTGAAATTAGATTCCAAACTATTCCTTTTGCGCTGGCAAGATGTCTCAGCAGAAATAGCATGCTGAGCAAGCTTGAGGATGAGTTCCATCTGCGAAACGTAAAGATGGAGGGAGAGAAATGACTCCACAAAGTTGCCCTCTGACCTACACACACACACACACACACACACACACACACACACGCGCGCGCGCGCGCACGCGCGCGCGCGTGCCATAATACATATGAGCTTGTGTGTGAGCTTGCATGCACACACATACACACATACATCGTGTGTATATTCACGATAACAATAAATGCAACTTTTTAATTTGTTTGGTTGTCTTTTAGAAACAATATTTTAGTTCTTAGGGGCAGGCAGATTTCTAAGTTCAGCTGGCCTGGTCTACAGAGTGAGTACCCGGACAGCCAGGACAACCAGTTATGTAGAGAAATCCTGTCTAAAAAACAAACAAACAAACAAACAAAAACACTTTTACTGCATCTAAGAGTAGGGACAAAAATCACGCCTAGAGCTGGGCATGCTAGCACACTTTTTTTTTCCTTTTGGTTTTCAGGATGTTTGAGGGGGTCTCCCTTTGTAAACTCTGGCTGTCCTGGAACTCACTATGCAAACTAAGCTGGCCTCGAACTCACAGAGATCTGCCTGCCTTTGCCTCCCAAGTGCTAGGATTAGACATTCATCACCATGCCCAGCTGGGTGGCACACTTTTAATCCTGGCACTTGGGAAGCGAAAGCAGATCTCTGCGAGTTTGAGGCCAGCCTAGTCTACAGAATGTGACAAAAGGGAAAAAAATCATTAGTTCTGAAGTGTGTCTGGAGGGAGGGGAATTTCCGGGAACATCCAGAGTGAGCAGGGCTAAATATTCTCCGTGACCAGAGGGGATCTGCCTCCAGGAAGTTATTTCCTCTGAGGGAGGCCCAGGGTTGCTGTCCAGGGCAACCCAAAGAGCTGGGATGGCTCCCATCTGCTCCTCCGGTTGTCAGAGGAGGTTCCTCCTGGCAACCTTCCTCCAATCAGAGTTCCTTCCAGCTCTGAACTCTGGCAAGTCCGGGAAGTGGCAGCCAAGGGATATGACTACATAGAGGAAGCCTGGGGACTTGATAGTTTCTCTCCTGTTCCCCATCCGTATCACCGCCTTGAAGCCACATGGGCCAGCCTTGGTACCAGTGCCTTTCCTTGCTAGGTGGATGAGGCTCCACTCTGGTGGCTATCTAGGACAGTAATGGCACCCACCACACTGTGGCTTTAATGTGTGAGGAACCCCATGACAGGCTGGAGCCTCCAGTCCTGTGGTTGTTAGATCTAGTCAGGATTGCTGGTCGTTATTCCCAGCTTTCTCCTGGGTGGCTGATGCTGGCCCCACCCTTCCCTTTAGCCTCTGTTCTCCTCACATCTGGATTTGGGTGGGTACATCTGGCTCAGAGTGAGACAGCTGTCAGGGACGCCCAGTTTTCTGTGGAAACACCCAAGCTGTCTTGGAGCTCTAGTGTGATGGAGTGAGGGTGGGGGAAGGACCTGGCCCAAGCTCAAGGCAGATCTCACCAATCGGCCCAGCTCTCCCTCGGTGGAAAGGAAGCAGTAGTTACCCCATTGCTACACAGCAGCAAACTGGACAGATCAGATGTGTTCACAGGGTAAACCAGTGACAGAATTCTAAGACCTAGGGTGCATCTTCTTCCAACAACTCCTCTAAAATTAGCTGGAATCTACCATGAAATTCATTCCCTTGTCTCCTGTTGGCTGCAGGTGCTCAGAGGCAAGAGATGTCCAGCCTCCATGGTTCAGCATGACTAGCCTAGGGTGTCCGGCCTCGGGGTGGGGTTTCCTGAGCAAGGACCTATGCTGAGATGGGGGCAGTTAGGACTCTGCCCTGCCTGCATCCTGCTACCTTCTTCCTGCACTTCCTGATCACCCACAGCCTACCCAGGATGGAGACTGAAGCAGAGGAAACAGGGGGTGCCACCTTTGCTCAGGTGTGGGCTGGCCTAGAGGAGACTTAGTGGAAGAAGACAGGCTTCTCTGGCTTTAATCCTGGCCCTGCTGCTGGCTGCAATGTGAGCTTGGACATGTTGGCTCCAGAGGGGTCACGCAAAGATGGGGACAGACCACCAAAGTCTAATAAACCAGAAGCAAACTGTATTCCAGAAACCAGATTCCAGGAAAACCAGAAGCAAGCTTAAAAGTAAAAAAAATAAATAAATAAAAATAAAAAAATAAAAACACTGCGGGCCGCAGAAGCTTATCAGCTAGCTGAGACCACAGTCAGAGATGGTGTTTGTTAGGCTGTGGCCAAAGGCTAGTTTCTGAACCCACCTTTTATAGTTAGGGCACCAAGCATTAGGTCTGAACAAAGGATTTTTACAATCTTGCCCCTACCCGTGGGTCAGTCAACGTAGATCCTAAGGAGGGGAGTGAGTTCTAATGTCAATGGGTAGCTATCATGAAATATGTTTCAGAGTAGATTACAGTGAAAGTCAATAATTACAAGAAAACAGGTATCTTTAGCAATTAGTCAGAAGAGAGACTGCTAGTAATACCAGAAGGTTAATAAATTAGAATTAATTAATTAAGGGACTAGAGATATGGCTCAGAGGTTAAGAGCATTGCCTGCTCTTCCAAAGGTCCTGAGTTCAATTCCCAACAACCACATGGTGGCTCACAACCATCTGTAATGAGGTCTGGTGCCCTCTTCTGGCCTGCAGGCATACATGCAGTCACAACACTGAAAACAAAATAAACAAATCTTTAAAAAATTAATTGGTTCTTAGGGAATTTAAAAGATAGCAGAAACCTTTTCACACTATCTCAAGGTAAAACTCAGATACAGACTGCCATACTTTGTATCCTCCACTGTCAGCGCTCATTGGTTAGACGGTGTTTGTACTGTCTACTGTCCTCCGGGTTCCAGGCAGTGTGTACTGGAGCCCCATGCCTCCCCTTTGATGGTGCCAGTTTCCCATAACGAAGACAGTGTCTAACCCAGAGGTCACGTATCTCTGTCTCCTAAAGGTTAACTCAGTTCACATCTGTCGTTCATCAAGGATGACCAAGACACTACTCTCAGAAGCTCCAGCCTTGTGTACAGAACAGCCAGATGTAAAATGGAATGACCTAGGCTAATGGAGGCTTCTTAAGCGTCTGAGAAAATGGCTCACTGTGAATGATTGATCCTCGATCTGCTGAGAAAACTGTTGACAGTCTGTTCTCATTCTCCTTGACTTATAACTTTATATTTATTTCTACATTCTTATTTTTGGAATCTTCATTTTTAATTTCTTATTCTTGGACTCTTCAGACAAATTTCTTTTCCTTTTGCACTTGATTCTGCTTGTGGAGTCAAATGAGTCAGGCCCTCCCTACAGCAACCCCACCAAGGGACTGGAGGGCACACGGCACAGCACCTGCTCTGTTTCCGCACACGGCACAGCACCTGCATTGTCAAACCAGCCTGGCGCCTGCACAGGGCGCCTTTTTCCTACCTTAAAGATAGTTCTGTTTCCTGGCCGGAGAAACGACCCAGGCTTAGTGAGAAGCTGATGGCTGAGTGCAGCTCTGTTTCTTGGGGTTTTATTATTTGTGTTGTGTTTTTAGACAGCACCTCAAAAAAAGAAAAACTGCATTTATATAAACTGAAAAAGTGCTCACTGTAACAGCACACGTACTAAATCAGAGCAACACAGAGATGGTCAGTGTGGCCTCTGCGCAAGGATGACAAGGATGACACTCAACTTTGCGAAGCAGCCTCTGAGCCTTTTTTTTTTTTTTTTTTTTTTTTTTTTTGCTTTTAGAGACAGGGTTTTTCTGTGCGGCCCAGGCCATCCTGAAATTCTCTTTTAGACCAGGCTGGCCTCAGAGATCGATCTGCCTCTGCCTCCCGAGTGCTGGGATTTAAAGGCGCGTGCTACCGCCACTCAGCTTTTCTTTTAAAAGAGTTTTTATGTATATAAGTGTTTTACCTATATGTGTTTGTGTGTTCATTAATGCATGATATTTTTTTAAGAATCTGGGCATGATGCCACTTACCTTCAGTCCCAACACTCAGAAGACAGATACAGACAAATCTCTCTGAGTTCCAGGCCAGACAAGGTGAGACTCAGTCCCCTAAAAAATGTCTAAACAAGAGAGGAAAAGTCAGCCTGAAACTATGACATCACCGGCATTTAGGCCAACACCCCTTCACACACATGTAGATTGTCCATGTGTACTTTAGTATGCCAATGGGCAAAGTTATAGGTCATCTGCTGGGGACACTTTTTCCTCCAAAGCAGAGACCACATACCACCACTCTTCCGACCAGTATGACGACCTGATTCTCATTTCTCATGTTAAGATAAGATCCTAAACAGGCTGGCATAGATGGAGTGTGGGTGGCAGGGGCATTGGTAGTCCGTGCTTTTAATAAATGGCACCCTCTCAGGCTAGAGAGATGGCTCGGTGATTAAACACATGTTGCCTTTGCAGAGGTTGGGTTCCCAGCACCCACAGGTGGCTCACAACCAGTTCCAGGCATATGATGTTCCCTTTTACCTCTACAGACCAGCCATGCCCATGGTGCCCTCACATACTCACAGTCAACACTCACATACATAAATAAACCTGAAGAAACTTAACGGCATCCTTTTGAACGTTTCCACATTTTGCTTGTCTCTCTCTGTGTTATCTTGCTTTCTGAAAGCATCTAGCTGTGTCTGATACTTCTCATTTGTTTCAGTCTGTTTCTCCTGCTAGGCATATGCTCTGCCAGGAGCTACATGGCAACCCCGAGTTTTAGTGTTCAGATGGGGATCATAGGAGGGTTGTGATAACATGTTTGCAAAGCTCTCAGAAGAATACCAACTCCAAAAAGTATTATATACCCTGCCTCATCCCTCTCAGTGCTGGGGCGGGGAGGATGGTCAGACAGAAACTCCAGACTCAACCTCTGCTTCTGACCTGAGGGAGGAAAAAAGGGAAACCTCCAAGTGGGAAGTGATGGATTATGAGTCATTGGTCATTCGGCTGTTGGCTGGATGCCTGTGTTCCCAGCACTGAGCCAGGGTGGGAGAGACAGTTTCCAAACTCTCCATCCTCAGTTGAGTAGGGAGTTGAGACCAATGGTGAGGCTCACATACAATGGGGCACTTCTTGTGTGGCAGAACATAGCTGATGGTGGTCAGGGATAAGCGTGAATACTGGGCACGAGCAGTAAGTAGAGCCAGAGGTCGGGGCTGGAGTTTGTAGGTGTCTAAGGACCTAGCATCAAGATTCAGGGTCTCCGTTCCTCCTCAGGAGATGTGGGAGGGCTGCTGTAGTGTACACTTTTAATCCCAGCACTCGAAAGGCAAAGGTGGGTGGATATCTCTGAGTTCCAGATCAACTTAGTTTACATAGTGAGTGCTAGATCAACCAGGGCTACATAGTGAACTCTGCATAAAAACAAAAAAAAGAGGGGGCAGTGGTGGCCCACGTCTTTAATCCCCACTCTCAGGAGGCAGAAATAGTTGAGTTTGAGGTCATCCTGGTCTACAGAGAGGGTTCCAGGATAGTCAGTGCTACACAGAGGATCCTGTCTCGAAAAAGCAAAATAAATAAATAAATAAGCAACAACAACAACAAAAAGACCCTCATTACATAGCCCAGGCTGACATCAAAGTCACAGAGATCTACTTTACTTGTCTCTGCCTTCCTTGTGTTAGGATTAAGGTGTGATCCACCAAGCCCCACGTGTTGACTTTTTAAAGTTTGTTTTATTATTGTCGTGTGTTTATGAGTGTGGACACATGCCGCAGCTGCTTGACGAGGTCAGAGAACAGTTTTCAGGACTCCATTCTCTCCAGCTGTGGGTTCTGCAGACCAAACACGGGTTGGCGGGCTTGTACAGCGCGTGCTTTCGCCCACTCAGCCATCTCGTCTGCCCATGTCCTCTTTATTTATTTTTATCTCCATTTTTTTTGTTTTGTGGTTTTGTGTGTGTGTGTTTCTTTGTTTTTAAAGACAGGGTTTCTCTGTGTAGTCTTGGTTGCCCTGGAACTCACTCTGTAGACTAGGCTGGCCTCAAACTCACAGAGACCTGCTTACCTCTACCTCCTGAGTGCTGGGATTAAAACGTGTGCCTGTTGTAAGGAAGAGGGGCCTGCTTGTTCATCCTGGCCACCTGGCTAGCTTAGCCCAAAAATAATCACACAGAGAGTGTATTAATTAAAATACTGCTTGGTCCATTAGCTCTAACTTCTTATTGGCTAACTCTTACATCTCAGTTTAACCCATTTTTATTAATCTGTGTATTGCCACATGGCAGTGGCTTACCGGGAAAGATTCGGCATGTCTGTCTCTGGCAGCTCCATGGTGTCCCCTACTCCGCCTTTCTTCCTCCCAGCATTTAGTTCTGTCTTCCATGCCTACCTAAGTTCTGCCCTATCAACTAGGCCAAGGCAGTTTCTTTATTCATTAACCAATAAAAGCAACACACAAACAGAAGAACCATGTGCCACCACCAACCAGCTGTTTTTCTCCATTTTTTGAGACAGGACCTTATGAATCTGAGGCTGATTTCACAGCCAGAAATTGGTATGTAGCCAAGGATAACCTTGAACTCTTGATCTTGTCTCAAGTGCTGAGGGCACTGGCTGCACCATCGTACATGTATTTATGGGGTTCTGGGGACTGAACCAGGGCTTCCTACATGGTAGGCAGTCACTAGAACTGAGCTACATCCCCAGCTCTTTTATTGTGTTTTGTTTTGAGGCAGGTTCTCACATAGCCTAGGCTGGCCTTGAACTCCTAACCTAACATCTGTGTCTCCTAAGTGTTTGGAATTATTGGCACGCCCCTCACCTCAACAGTTGCTTTGTGTGTTGTCCTCCTGTCCCTGATTTATGTGCTCTTTCATTTTAGTTTCTCAAACTTGGACTAAGGAAAGAATCTTGGAAGAAAAGCAAACCATATCGCTGCTGCCGAGACCTCACCTGTCTGCCTCCAGCTCTGCAGAAGGAAGAAAGTGGGATAGTCACACACCCACACCCTGTCTTCATGGGCCTTTAACCTAACTTCTAATTCCCTGAGCCAACTTTGATCACATTTACCCTCTAATCTTTAGTGTTGGCAAGTGTGGACATCTGAACACCGTCCTCTGGAGCCAGTGTTTTGGGCTGAGGGTGTTGAGAGGGTACTGAGGACTGAGCAACCAGGGCTGTGTGCTGAAGTCACCATGTCCACCAAGGTCCCCATTTATCTGAAACGTGGCAGCCGCAAAGGCAAGAAGGAAAAGCTTCGGGACCTGCTGTCCTCAGACATGATTAGCCCACCACTTGGGGACTTCCGTCACACTATTCACATTGGCAGTGGTGGTGGTGATGACATGTTTGGGGACATCTCCTTCCTGCAGGGCAAGTTCCACCTCCTTCCAGGAACAGCAGTGGAGGAGGCTGAGGAGGATGGCAGCTTCGACCTTCCCTTCCAGTTCACTCGCACTGCCACAGTGTGTGGGCGGCAGCTCCCCGACGGACTGTCACCTCTGCTCAAAAATGCCATCTCCCTCCCTGTCATTGGAGGTCCCCAGGCTCTCACCCTGCCCACAGCCCAGGCTCCACCTAAGCCTCCTCGCCTGCACCTGGAGTCACCACAGTCGTCTCCAAAGTCCTCCCCGCAGGAGGCAGGAAATGTGGACATCTGGAGGATTCCAGAGGCCAGCTCCCCCCACAATGGGATGAGCCCAGAGCCAGAGGCTGAAGAGCCTTTCCTGTCCCATGCCAGCTCCCTGCTGTCTCTGCACGTGGACCTGGGGCCATCTATCCTGGATGACGTCCTTCAGATCATGGATCAGGACCTGGGCCACGTGCAGATCCCCACATAGGACCCTTGCTGACCAGACAGGTCACAGGGGCTGTGGTGACACCAAGAGACATCTATGGACATGGCCCTGACCTAGGAGTCAGCGTCCCAGATCTCACCTGTGGGTGCTGGTCAGTGACTGTGTTTTGAGCCTTTTCTTTTCTTCCCTCCTCCCAATGGACAGACAACATATTTTCTTCCCTCTAACAACATCCACAGGGGGCTATGTCAGATTTGCCCCAGATATTATTGAGCCTCTTAGGTCACCTGGGGCCCCACTTCCAATAGTTCCCTTTCCCTTGCTGAAATGGACTCTACCCCTTTTCCACTCCCCTCCACCCATCTGTCTTTGCGCCCTGGTCTGGGAGCATGTTGTCCGTAACCAGACATGATATGCCTTGTGTCCTGTCCCATACCTTCTCCACATGACCAGGGGATTCTGGTTGCAATAAAACATGCTGCTGGTGGTGGCTGAGCATCCTGTCCCCTTGTCCCGGGTTTCCTTCCAAAGGTGGGCCAGTCTCCATAAACAAGAAGCTCACATGAGATAAGTTCCACCCCAGAAGATTCCATAGAGACTGGGGTTGAGCTTAAGTCTGCACCCACAGTGAAAATGAGACAAGAATAGTCAGCATTGTTACGTTGTTGTTGCTATGACAAAATGCCTGATACAAACAGCTTCAGGGAAGGGTTATCTTGGCCCACAGTTCCCAGGTACAGTACTGTCCATCAGGAAGAGGAAATCACGAGAGCAGGAGCTCGCGGCAGCTGGCCACCTGTGTCAATAGTCAAGAAGTGAAACGCAGTGAATGAGGGTGCTTTGATCACTTTCTCTTTTATTCAGTTTGGGACCCCAGCCCATGGGATGGTGCCACCCACATTTGGGGAAACCCAGCCCACTGGGCAGTGCTGCCCACATTTAGGGGACCCAGCCCATTGGGTGGTGCTGCCCACATTTAGGGGACCCCAGCCCATTGGGTGGTGCTGCCCACATTTAGGGGACCCCAGCCCATTGGGTGGTGCTGCCCACATTTAGGTATTTTTCACTGTCATTAACTAGATCTAAAATCCCCTTCACAGACAGCTCCATGTTTCCATGATGAGTCTGACCTTATTAAGTTGACCACCAACATTAACTACCACACAAACCAAGTATTAGTGGTGGATATTGGACATTGATTTGGGTGTTTGGCAGGGATGGGCTGGAAGGGGCTGGAGAGATAGCTCAGTAGATAAGAATGCTGCTTGTGCCAGGCAGTGGTGGCGCACGCCTTTAATCCCAGCACTTGGGAGGCAGAGACAGGTGGATCTTTGTGAGTTGGTAGACCAGCCTGGTCTACAGGGCAAGTTTCAGGAAGGCTCCAAAGCTAGAGAAACCCTGTCTTAAAAAAACAAAAAGAAAGAAAGAAAGGAAGGACGGACGGACGGACGGACGGACGGACGGACGAACGAACGAAAGAAAGAAAGAAAGAAAGAAAGAAAGAATATGCTGGCTGGTTTTGTTGTTGGTTTTTTTGTTTGTTTGTTTTTTGTTTTTTGAGACAGGGTTTCTTGGTAGCTTTGGAGCCTGTATGGCCTCGAACTAGCTCTTGTAGACCAGGCTGATCTCAAATTTACAGAGATCTGCCTGCCTCTGTCTCCAGAGTGCTGGGATTAAAGGAGTGTGTCACCACAGCCCGGCTAATGCTGGCTGTTCTTACAGAGAACCTGGGTTCAGTTTATGTGGTGCTGTGGATTGAACCCAGGACTTCTTGCATGCTAGCTTGGCATTCTACCAACTGAGCTACATCTTTGCCCTTCAGTTAATGCTATAACATAGTTCTTATATTGCAAAAGATTGAGATGAACCAGTAAGAGATTAGACACAGGAATAGACAGAAATTCTGTACTTGGGGGTGGGTATGATAATCAGACTTCACATTTTCTAACAAAAAGAGAGATGCAATATACAATCAACCCGGTGCATCCATGGGTTCTATAATCATGAATTTGGCAACCATGGAACAATATAGTTTTAAAAATTATAGGCTGGGCTGTGGTGGCACACGCCTTTTTTCCCAGCACTCGGGAGGCAGAGGCAGGCAGATCTCTGTGAGTTAGAGGCCAGCCTGCTCTACAAGAACTAGTTCCAGGACAGGCTCCAAAGCTACAGAAAAACCCTATCTCAAAAAAACAAAAAAAAAAATTACAGGGGACTAGAAATATGACTCAGATGTTAAGAGAATTGGCTGCTCTTTCAGAAGGCCAGGTCAATTCCCAGAGCCCACAGGACAGTTCACAATCCATCTGTAACTTCAGTTCTGGATCTGATGTTCTCTTCTTGCCTCCACCTGGCACCAAGTACACAGGTGGTGCACAGACCTACCTGCAAACAAAACCAAGTTTAAAAATTAAAAAAAAATTGCACCTGAGGGCTGGTGAGATCTCAGGGGTTAAGGCTACTTACTGCTCTTCTAGAGGGCATACATGGAATACATTTACATACACAATTTTTTTTTGCTTTTTTCTTTAAAACAGGGTTTCTTTGTATAGCTTTGGAACCTGCCCTGAAACTTGCTCTATAGACCAAGCTGGCCTTAAACTCAGAGATCCTCCTGCCTCTGCCACCTGAGTGCTAGAATTAAAGGCATACACCACCACCACCCACCTTGAGACTCTGTCTCCAAAACCAAAACCAAAACAAATAAAAATTTACAAAGACAGTGTACCATAGTGTCACTTGACATTGTTGGCTGTCCAATAATTCCTCTCTGCACTTTGGAACTTCCTTTTGATTATGGTATTTGAGGGACATGGTACCTAGACAAACTAAAGAGGGAAGGTCCTAGACCAGGCGGTGGTGGTGCTCTCCTTTAATCCCAGCACTTGGGAGGCAGAGGCAGGTGGATCTCTGTGAGTTTGAGGCCAGCCTGGTCTACAAAGCAAGTTCCAGGACAGCCTGAACTGTTACACAGAGAAACCCTGCTTTGAAAAACAAAAACAAAACAAAGCAAACAAAAAATGGAAAAGAAAAAAGGGAAAGGTCCTTCCTTCTACCTCTAGCTACCTCGATGTAAGGAGATGCCTTAGCTCGATGAGTCTAAAGCCTTGTATAATCACTCTGATATGGCTGCCCCACATGTGGCTGGTGTAGGACACGGGCTTGGGAACCTCTTCCAGTGGCTCCTCTAGCCTCAGCTTAGGTCCAGAGTAAGGCTGGATGACTAAGGATGTGAGGAAGGTGCCTTTGTTTGCTGCCTCCCCTCAACAGAAGAGAGGCAGCCTCAGCACTGAGACTCCAGTGCTTTCTCAAGCACACAGCCCTCAGCTCCCTGCACTCTGCACCTTCACAGGCTCTGCCAGGGCCACAGCTGACACTCCATGGAGCTAGAGGCCAGATGGAAGCTTTGGGGTCCCATTGAGTCAGGGTGCCTATAGTAGGTCTGCTGTAGGAATTCCTGCAGCCAGCAGCCTTTAAATTACCCGCCTACTTGGGCGAGGCCTCTTATACTATTTATGCCGATGTAAAGTGCACATCTGGCCTCTTTTCCGGTCGCTGTTCTACCATTCAGCAGAGGATTGTGACTTGTGAGTCTACCCCTAAATAAATATCCCTCTATTATTCTAAGTTCTGAGCTAGTGTGGGATTTCTTTTACTCATTCTTCATCATCTGGCGCCCCACATAGATTCAGACTCCACAGGGTGGACGGCCTGAGTGCTTAATGGGTTCACAGCCCAGAAAGTCTCCCAACCCTGCCTGCTCGGCTTGCTTTTACCTAAGCAATTTTTTGTAAAACTCATGCCACAGCAGAGCTAACTGTGTCCAGCAACTTGCGAATTTCCCAAGCTTGCAAAGATCCTCTCCCCACTGCTGTGTTTCTTGCCTCATGGTGTCTCTTGTACAGTTTCCAGTTTGTGCTCCCTGATCGAAAGTTCTGGGCTTATTGCTCCATGTATGGAATTGATCTAATTGCTTTTAATTTGTCAAGCAAAGCATATTTCTCAGTATTTAACCAGTACCAATTAAACTAAAGTGGTTCAGGACCATGCATGTTGCCACCAGTTGCATCACTGCTAGTTGTGACTCTGCAACCATGACACCTGCTGGACAATAAAGATTATTACACCTAAAACAATTTACTGGATCTCATAACAGGTAGTTAATAAATCAATATGGCAGACTACATTAACATTGAAACATTTAGTAACTTTTTTGCTAATACTGTGGATTGTATTCTTCAAGGCTTATATGGTTATGGTGATACATCCGTTTATTAGATATTGGGACTCAGTTTTTTCTTCATATTATATCCTTAAGAAAGAATGTGGCACTTTTAGAAATGATACAGTCTTTACAGATTAATAATGAACAGCTAGTTGACAGGATTAATATCATCAAAAATCAAAAGTTACCTGAAAAAAATTAATACTATTGAAGAGGGTAACATTAATTTGACAGACAAAATTGAACCTATGTCTAATGGTATTGAGAAATCTGAAAGAATTCATACTGTTGAATTTGACAATCAAAATTTGTTAAAAAGTTATGATAGGTTAGCAGATAGAGTATCTCTTCAAGATGGCAATCTGCACACTATCCAAATAATGTCCAAGGATGAGGTGTTATCTTTAAAGGAAAAACTTCAGACCTTGGAATCACATGTGCAGAATGAGGACCAAAGGCTAGGTGCCTCAGTGAAATCACTAAAAATATATACAGGCCAGGAGATTCAGGCTTTACAAAAGACAATAGTAAAAAGATTAGAAATTATTGAGGAAATTAGTGGAGCTGATGAGCAGGGAAAGAAGGCACAAGGACAGGATTCAACATCGCCAGTAGCTGTCAGAGATGACTTACCCAGGGTTTTAGCTTCCTGCCCTGTAATCAACTCTAAAAAAGCATCAAGTTCTAAAGGCCCAAAAGGGTCCAAAGAAGGTAGATGGAAACCTTTACGAATAATCTAAAAGAAATTAAGCAAGCTGTCGTAACTTATGACTTGCATTCTGCATTTGTTAGGGAGATGATAAAGACATGGGCTTCTAGCATTAAAACTGCATCACATGACTGGTTTCAGTTAGCTTCAGTAGTCCTGGATGATGGGCCTTAACTGATGTTTAAATGTTATTTAAGGGAAGAGGCTAAAATTTTAGAACAGGGGAAAGCAAAAGGACTTGAGACTTCCCAAGATCAAGTTCTTGGTGAGGGCACTTATGTTGACTCACAGGCTCAAGCTCTTTACAATGAACAAATCTTGTCCCTATGCCACAAAGCAGCCTTAAATGCTTGAGACAGGATTCAAGAATTAGAAAAATGAATTGAATCATATGAATCATATGCCAGGGTTAAACAGGGCCAGAGAGAACTCTTTACTGACTTTTTACAAAGATTAACTAAGGCTATACAAATAGGAGTAACAGACCCAGATGTTAGACGAGTACTTATTGAATCTCTAGCTTTTGAAAATGCCAAATTAGAATACAAAAAGATACTTGGGCCTTTAAA